AAAGTCACTGAGCACACCGCTTAGGTCGCCAGCTCCACATAAAACCAGCCTTAACTGTGCTCGTCCATCACAAGTTACCTCTTCCATTGGGAACGGGGCCCCCACCGGCAATGCGCTCGATGAGGATCGATCGCAAAAGGCTCTCATTCGTACAGCAAAGGCTACCCAGCTTAATGCCATCAAGCAGGATCTAGAAGTAGAGGCCCAACTAATGAAGGCAAGTTCCGAGCTTGGAGGCGAATTCTCGTTACGTCATTTTATTCAACTGAATGATTCATACAACATGTCCTGTCTGCTTAAAACAAAGTATGCCTATGTGTTAAGTGCTTTTTCCAGTCTTGTATGAAAAGTACATCAACTGCTTGAACAATGCGTACGGAAAGAGCTCGAGCGTAGGAAAAATGGTTGAAGTATACTTACAGGAAGCGAGTGTCATCACAACTGTCCACTATTTGTTTACTTCTTGATGGAGTATGCTTAATTTAAATTGAAGCCTTTCTGTACTCTGCAGGAGAAAGCCCTTCACGAACTCTACAATTTTGAATCAATGTCCATACTGGAGTGTGGGAAGGCTCTGGTAGATCTTGTGGAGATTTCGGCGTCCTATCATCGAACCTGTGTTGCTATCCTCGAAGAGTTGTCACCCATGCTGAAGGAAGAACTTGGTAAATTCGGTGCTCCTGTTGCATACTTGACCTTGGTTTGCTTTGAATGCCAACAATGCGAAATTATCTGCCATGGTATGACATTCCATATAACAATTTTAAGTGGCTGTATGATAGAGGGAGAAGTCAACCAAGATGCCATGATTTGCTTATAAAGTCATTTTAACTCTGAAATGACTTAAGATAAATATAGATATTTCAGTAAAATGTTACTTCTGAAGTCTCTTTGACCGTTCAAATTTAGTAAACTTTCAATAACGCACTGACGACTGTTCAACTATGTGAAAACGTATGATGTTAGTGGCAATAATCCTTTTGGCTAAATGATGGTAAAAGGCGTTATGCATTACTTCAACTAAATTAATATAAGTATTGTGGAAAACAGTGGAAGCATACGTTTTAAGTGTTTTGTTATAAATAAATCCACTGTGAGAGATGAGTCAGACAGTATTCAGTGACATGTGTTTGCAGGTGTGTAGTGCAATTATGTTCCCCTAAACGGTTTGCGTGATGGACCAACAGGGGGGCCAACTTAGCGCACGGCAGGCGTTACTTGGGCCGTGCCTCCCCCCATACTACGTGCCGAAGATTACGGGGCATGCATAAGGACACGCGTAGGTTCAGGCTCACGCTGCACCGGCCGTCTGTGCCCAATCCAACCTCTGATTTGACACTGGGCATAGGTGGATGAGTGAAGAGGGGGTGCGTTAGATGCGGTGAAAGTCTACTGTCAATTGAAGTAAATCTACTTGCAAATCACTGTCCTTGCACCACCCTTATTATTGAAATCAACGGTCGAAACGTCGTAGAGCACTGATATACTAAAATTGACGTTTTTTAGCTAATATGACCGCTTCTATTATCTCGGATGTAATTCCAATCTTAAGATAGCCATTAATTTATGCGCATTCAAGCTTTGCTGCGCTTGCTAGTCCACATTTACACTGTCTAGCCAAGTAAACGTGGCAAGCGACGAAGGTACTTAAAAATAAGTCGAAAAACATTTCCGACAAGATAAAGAAGACAAGAATAGCCATTTCTTGTTTGAAATAGGCAGCCATACCCAACCTCTGGTTTATAAAATCTTAAGGCTCGTATCCGTTCTCGCTCGGTTCAAGACCAATGCCCAAAGCTATAGGACTTTTGACCCATCAGTTGTGATCGGGTTGGGTAGGGCTGGCCATCGATGGCAAATAAGTCAGAAATGGCCACAAATGTCTCCCCTTTCTTCGTTAGTAGTGTTGTTCTGCCTATATCACCAGCCACTGTTGATCTCATAGAAAGTACTCAAAGGTATGTCTTTTAGGAAGAATGGCAAAGTCCTTTATTCAACTATACTGAATATGGATGCTTAGATTCTGCACAAAACTTCAAAACCCCAACTGATATTTTGATTAACTTATTATTAAACATTCAGCAGTGCGTTTAACTGGCTTTTCATGTATTTGTGTGTGACTTTTTGCCCCATCAATTGTTTTTTTCCGAAACAGAGGCATGTCCAAGGCCTTGACATAGAATAAGTGTTTGTGTTTCGTAGTAATTTTACCTGATTACACTTAACCATCCAATTTTTATAAAATGTCAATTTAAATATTCTTCTACAGGCTGCTATGTCAGTTAGCTATATCTGATTCAAATTCATACATGCTATTTTTTATATTTACATATATGATAGGCCTTCAAAATGGAATGTATTGTTAAACTTTCAATGATGCACGATGTGTTACAAAAAAAACCACTGAAACTGATGCCACTTCGCAGAAGCTTACTCCCTTATGCAACACATACTTTTCAGAAATAAATCAGCTGTCCGAAAGTTGGGATCACAAAGTCATCTTCCGGATAACGTTCACAGCTACTTTGCTTTGATCATTTATGACAAAATTTAGTGCTTTAGTATTCAGATTTGGCGGGCGGATATCGGGTACATACACTGACTGTCATTTTTTAACCAACGACAAACCGGTCAGTTTTGCAATCATGCTGATGTAAAGCTTTCTACTTGCAAACTTGAATGGTGGTCTGGACGCTCAGTTGTCAATTGTTGCGAAGGTCACTATGCATAAATTTTGCCCTTGCAATTGTTCTGGTAAGGGTGATCGCTATTGCTGTAGCCAGTGTTACCGACCGCAGTAACATCATAGTATTCTTTTTGTCATAGGAGTACTCCGGCTCAGAATAGGCACCGTGATATAACTATTTCGGGCTATTGGCCCTCATCAGCTACGGGCAGCCAACTCTAGTGTGTTACTGACAGTTGGCTAGTAATATATCAATTATCAGTAGCTTTGCGGAACACAGTTGGTTGATCCGACTGGCAAAAGCATTATCCCAGGATGGGCGCATCCTGAGGAATAGGGATCCGACTCGCAAAAGCATTATCCCAGGATGGACGCATCCTTAGGAATAGAACGATGGACACGAATAATATATACTCCCGATCTACAACCGGCCAGACATCGACCTCGATGGCTAGTAATAATATATACTCCCGATCTACAACCGGCCAGACATCGACCTCGATAGCTCATAATATTTATAGTATTCTGTAATTACCCACAGATGAACAGTGTCCGCTCCCGGTTTTTGGTCGCCAGTTGGAGACACATCTTCAGGCAACTGGCCGCCGAATCGCCTACCCAATCAAGGTCTGCGTCAGAGCACTCAACAAACCTAGAGTTCTCGCTGAGGAGGTATATGCAACTGCTTTTTTGTTCAAAACTGCTATTCATTCTTCTTTTGTATGAGGTTTCTGCCAGTCTCCGCTAAACGCTAAGTGACAAGTCCCCTGTACAAAGAGCAAAAATAAAATCAGTCTACCGTTAGGCTCTATAAAGTCTATTTATCGATAAATTCCGGTACGTAACGATATTTATCCGGAAGAATGGCCAGTAGCATGTGGTTGTCAGTACCAGCCTCACGCTTCCAGATCTGATAGTTAAAGGAAATTTTGCAGTCCAGCGACGTAAAATGATCAAGCAAGACCGGGACACACACAAGCTAGTCGTACATACAGTAGATTCCCTATCTCACGAAATGTCACCTGGAATTCTGAAATGCGATTTCGATTCAAACGTATTATTTACGTATGTTTTTAAAAATGACAATCGTACAGCCTCACTTCAATATATTTACGTCACTTCAGGATGCCGGCTTTTTAATGGGTTTCTTCATGACCGCTAAGTAAAAGTATGTACTTTAAAAAGTGGATACTTAAGTATTATGCCTTATTTTCATTAATTTTGACTGCAAATGTATTTTATAAAAAAAGCACGAACAAATTATTTCTTATACGCATTTGGTTGTAAATTAGGCCTTCTTGAAATTTTAAAATTAAAGAAAGGGTACCTTTCGGTTTTTAAAAAGTTTCTAATTATGAGCTTTTTTGCAATTTTCAGATGTTCATTCATAGAACATCGTATCCGTCAATTTGTTAATGCTGCCTTTACTGATAATAGCATGCCCTATATCTATTGCAAGATTTTATGAGAACTATGTGAGATCTTCCTCGAGCTGTAGGCGAAAACGTACTTTTCCTTAAACAGGATGTACACAATGCGCAGTTTGTAAACCTTGAATTCCAGTGTAGCGGTCACTAGGTTTCAAAATTATTCGGCAGTTTTAAAAACTTTTTTAAAATTAAAAGATACCTTTATTGTAAGTATAAAATGTAAAGTAGGCGTAATATGCTACCAAACGAGTACAATAAATATTTTTTCGTGCATGCTTTCCATAAATAATATTTGAATTTATAAAGGCAGTCAGCACCAAGGACAAAAAGTATACTACTTAAGTAGCCATTTTTATAGTACGTACGTTAACTTAGCGATCAAAAAGACGCTCATTAAAAAGCAGGCCTCCTTACGTGAACTAAATATATTAAGATGACGCTGTACGGTGGTCATTTTTAAAACCATATGTAAGTACTATGTTTGAATCGAAAACGAATTTCAGAATTCTGGGTGACACTTCATGAGACAGGAAATCTATTGTAGTCTGTGGTGTGGACTTGCCTACAATGCAATCTCTTTTTTATGCACCCGAGCCAGAGAAAATGCCTAAACGTCAAAAAGTTTAAGTTGCATACCGTTTTTGATCCACAATTTCTGGCTAAGTTAGGGTCAGACTGCAAAAATAAGAAACAAATTTGAGAGTGGCCCAGCGGCACTCACAAGAGAAATAGTTTATGAATTGAGATGACAGTTAAAAAACTCAGCAGGATCACATAGAGATCACGATGGACAGTAGTTTAAATAAATATGAATGATGTTATTGTTATTGACACAATAGACAGTGTCACATCGGTTGTTCAGAGCACTCTGCACGGTCTCGATATATCTTCGAACTACTTTCAGTTGTCTATCTACGATTCTATATATTCACTGTTGAATAAAAATGTTAGCTTTCAAAATCAGAAAGTACTGACCATGCTAGAGTCGTCGCGTGGTCAAAAAAGGAAGGATAATCAACTAGTCATTCAAATGCCAGATAGGTTCTATCGGGTCTGCTGAATAGAGTACTCAACGTAGATTGGAAATGCCGATGATCATAATTCGCCCACGTAATACAATCGCTACATAAAGAAAGATATAAACTGCAAGCATCGCAGAAAACTTTAAGTAAATTCGCACTTTATATTTAGCACGGTGAATGCCATCGAAAGCGCCTTTCAAAAACGCATTTTTCAATGTATAAGATGCAGTCAACACTACACGAAATGTTTCAAGAAGTTTATATTTTGCCTTTCAGGGGCTCTTTCGAATCGCGGGAAGCAAGAAAAAGGTGGACACCCTACAGGTACGATGTGTATTCAGTCATTTTACCGTTTTGCCAATGTGTTATTACCCATTTATCTGCGAATAGGTATCTTCTATGATTTTATGCAGATTCTCCTAAAAAGGATGCCATATAGAGGTTTCTGGGAATAGTGCGGCAAAAAACTACCAAACACATGCACTTTTGATTTATTCGATAATTGATATCCGTTTTAAATTATCAACGAATGTAATTAATCAGTATCCATACTTAACAAATTATGACTTATTTGACGTTAATTCAATGGCCACTGTTTGCTCCCTATGCATAGCCCAACGTATCCGCCGATTACTTTTATCATTTAGAAACGATAATGTCTAACACATCAGTGTGTTGCGTTAATATAATCCACGTAGGGAATCAATATTTTGTCTATATCTGTACATATGTGTCTTTATCTGTATATTGTCAAAAGAAATCTCGGTTGCATTTGGCTAAAAAGTATATAACCCAGACGAGTAAGAGTACAAATCGTAGAAAGAATCTCTGTAAGAAATTAATCACATCAGGCAGACGAAACGATCCTTAGCACAGCGTCCTTTATTCCGATATTTGATGAACTGTAAAATATAACCTTTTACAGTTGGAGTGAGTGATAGACTTTAATCTGGGACAAACAAATAGGGCTGGGAAAAGTGCGTGTTTTCGGCTGAAATAAGGCTTTGGGATATCGAAAATCTTGATCTTGTGGTTCGGATTTGGGTTGAAATTGCGGCTGCCACTGGGATGTGTGCTGTAATTTAGTCGTGGGATTAGTGGGACACATCAAGACAAAGATCCAATGGTGCAATTGTGAGAGCGTTAAACTGTTAATCAGTTGGTCGCAGTTTCGAACCTCGGACCGTTTACCACGTATAGTAGGTTATAGCCTGCTGATGACACCTACTAGGCCAGAAACATCTCTAGAGTTGATAAAGATATTATATAGAGATTATATAGAGTGGATATAGAATTAACGATTGTGTCCAATTGGACAATATCCGGCCATTTTCATTATCGCGCGCATATAAGCTGCTTAGTGAACAAAATTAAACTG